AACCGATGAGAAAGCGCCGACTTGGCGTCGGTTCGCGTCGATGTGTGTCGATCAGAGCCGATTTGCAAGAGCCAGCAACATGCCATGGTAGGGGAGGCTCCTGCGAGTTCCCACCAGACATTGGCAGCACCGGGACCCGAGAGGGAGGGGATCCCCTTCATGGCGGGCACGTATGGCAGAGTGGCTGCGGCTCCGAGGCATGGCGTCATCGTCGTCGTCAAAAGGCACTCTCGTTGCCATGCTGCGCCGCCATCGCGTCGTCAGCTCTGCAAAGCATGTGCTCTTTCGCCCAGGGCCACGTCCATTTCACTTCGAGGAAACGTAAGGCTCGAGTAAGCCGGAACTCGGGTTTGCCGACTTTCTTTTGACGAGGGCGTCCTGGATTTTGACGGTCCGGATGTCGGGTGATGTTTGCAGCGGGAGCTCGCGGCAAACTTCAGATTTGGTTCCGTCGTTTTCATGATGACCCCGCCAGGCCAACCCGAGTCCCCCGTAATTACCCGAGTCTTCCTCCTCCCCGATCGCTGTGTACACGTCGGCCCTCTGCGGACCTTCTTCGTCTTCAGAGGCAGGTCAGGTTGCCGGCTCGCTCCCCCGAAGGAGGGGGAGCGGCAGGTCCTGGCCTGCTGGCCCGCCCCGTGCTGCGCGCGGCTGCCGCGGTCCGTCCAGCGGAGGTGGGGCCCCGTCTGTCGGCTGCCCGACGCCCCTGACCAGGCCGGCGGCCGAACCTGTAATCGGGGGCGGACAGGCCTCCTACCCTGACACGTCGATTAAGCAATTGGCCGTTTTCGGTTCGCGAGGGGGCGTCGCGGCCGTCATTTTTGCGGGTCCAGGTCCGTCGGTTTCGGTCCCAGGTCGTTTTCACTAAGGGGAGGTCTACTAAAGGGAGGTTTGTCCACCGCCGATGTAACCTTGCGTGGGACCTGTTCCCTCGGATGCTGGGTATGTGGTGGGTGGGACAATTTGGTTACGCGTTGCTGCAAACAACAGGTGGCTGGAGAGACGTGGAGGAGGAGTCTTGCTGCCATCGGCGAGTTTACTGCGGGCGCTCCAGTCTTTGAGGGCTGCGGCGCGCTCTGGCGCGATGGTGGCGCTTCGTTCGTTCGTTCGCTCCGTGGGACCTGCATCGGCCAGACCCCCGGCGTCCGCCGGCCTGCCGTGAGCCACCTGGCGTCCGTCGGCTCGCCGGAGCCGCCCGCGGGGCCCTCCGTGTGTCGGGTATAGCCAGGACCCCGGGTAAGGGGACCCGGTTAGTGGTAGGGCCCTGGGGCCCCTCAATTGGCCAGAATCACTGAACCAGGTCTGCCGTAGCTGGTGTTTTTCGGGTGACGGCAGTTAAGGTCAGTGGAACGGGGCGGGGGGGGGGGCGCCTCCCGGTACTCATCACTAAACCAGGTTCCACTAAACCCAGTTCTGCCAACGCCCGAGTGTGGACGAGGCCCGCGCCGGGCCCACACTTTTGGCGGCTCCTCCCCGCCTGAACGCACGAGCCAGACCCCCAGCGCCGGGATCTACTCGCAGCGTCGACCCCCAGAGGTCCGGACCTCTTCCCTGGGGCCGGGTTCTCATCCTGGGGCGTTTTGTTGGCGGTCCCGGGGCCCAGCAAGGGCTCTCGGAGGCCGAAGATTGTGAAGAGCCTCCCGCCGTGTTTTTTATTTTTTTGTTTTTGTCTTTCACAGCGCGAGGGGGTCTGGGGAAGGAGCAGACGAACCAGTAGCGCCCTCGCTCCCTGGCGGGTCGACTCTGCCCGGGCTCCGCCGCGCCGGCGTTTTTGGCTCGCGGCGCGCGCGTGGGTCCGCCTTCCCGCGATGGCCCGCCCTGGCCACCGCAGGAACGTCGCGGCCCTGGGCTGCACGCTGGCGGCGCTCTCCCGCCTGTGCTGCTGGCGATCCGAGGCCCTGGGAAGGAGGAGGAGGAGGAGGAGGAGGAGGAGGAGGAGGAGGAGGAATAATGATATTATAACAACAACGAAAACGCTAGTAGTAGTAATATACATAAGATGAATGCTACTACGGAAAATGCTATTAATATGAATCATAGTCATAAGAAGACGAAGCAAACCCATACTTGTGATAATAAGACTCTTCCGAATAATAATCAGAAGAAACATACTACTACTACTGCTACTACTACTACTACTACTACTACTACTACTACTACTACTACTACTACTACTACTACTACTACTACTACTACTACTACTACTACTACTACTACTACTACTACTACTACTACTACTACTACTACTACTACTACTACTACTACTACTACTACTACTACTAATAATAATAATATTAATAATAATAATACTAATACTAATAGTAATAATAATAACAATAATAATAATAGTAATAATAATAATACTACTAATAATAATAACTAAAATATTAGTAATAACAATAATACTAATAAGAAACATAAGAAGAGGAGGGGGAGGAGCAGGAGGAGGAGGAGGAGAGGAGGAGGAAGAGGAGGAGGAGGAGGAGGAGGGGGAGGAGGAGGAGGAGGAGGAGGGAGGAGGAGGAGGAGGAGGAGGGGGAGGAGGAGGAGGAGGAGGAGGAGGAGGAGGAGGAGGAGGAGGGGGAGGAGGAAGAGGGATTGAAATTATTCCCCGCCGAGAGAAATAGGGGGGGGGGGAGAGTGCAACGCTAACCTCTTTCACTCCACGGACCTCTCTGGGGGTGCGTTCTGACCAGAACCTCGAGGCGAATGCAGCGGCGGTCACGAGGGCCTCCCAGGAGGCCCACAAAGGGCGACAGCGAGGCAGGGCGTACCGGTACCGGCACCGTCCCCTCCCTTGAGTTACATAGGGGACGCACAGCGGTAGAACGCAAAGTGTGCCGCCGTCGGGAACGCCTGAGGCCTGCGCCCCAGAGCGGCTGGAAAGTTTATGCCCGTACAGTCAAGTCGGGCTTGTCCCCCTGCAGGGGGAATATTCAAGAATAGTCCAAAAATTAGTCAGGGGACGATTTTTGGATCATTCTTGAGTGTTTTTGGGGCATGTTTGGGTTATCTTTTATTTTTCGTAAAACAATTCGCCTGTAGGGGGACACGCCCGACCTAACCGTACGGTGGCACGTCTGGGTATAATTTTTTCAGCCGCTACAGGCCCTTTCCAGCACGCGGAAAGGCTTACCTATCCGACCACCTCGGGTCGGACGGGGGGGCGGAAGGAAAACCCACCGACAGCAACCGGAGATCTCACAAGAGATCCCACTGTCGACCTCAGAAGGAATCTCGCGAGACAATCGGGACAACGCGATGGGGCCCCCCCAGCCACGGCGGGGCACCCGCAGTCAAAGATCTCCTGTGATCGACCTCATTATCGATCTCACTATCGATCCTACTATCGATCTCTCGACCTCACGATCGATACCACGATCACGATCGATCACGCAATCGATCTCATTACCGATCGGAGGTTGGGGGGTGAGATCGCAGTGGAACGGAGACCTCCAAGCGGGACATTGTTTCGTTTCGTTCGTGTCGTGCGTGCGGGCGAGGCGAAGCTGCATGGGCGCGCGAGAGGAATGAACCCGCCGATGCTAGGGCGAAGTCAAGACAAATCTTGCTCCCCCATTCGTCCGTCCGTCCGTTCGGCGGTGGCCCTAGCGGTGTCCCGGGGTGTCCCGTGGTGTCTCTTGGTGTCCCGTGGTGTCCAATGTTGCTAGGGCAACATCAAGACAAATGTTGCTCCCTCGTCCGTCCGTCCGTCCGTCCGTCCGGCGGTGGTCCTGGCGGTGTCCCGCGGTGTCCCGTGGTGTCCCGTGGTGTCCCGTTGAGTGAGATCGATATTGAGATCGATCGTGAGATCGAAGTGGTGCCCCGAGGTGTCCCGTGGTGTCCCGTGGTGTCCCAAAAAGTGAGATCAATTGTGAGATCGATTGTGACATCGATAGTGAGATCGACAGGTGGCCCGTGGTGTCCCGTGGTGTCCCGTTGAGTGAGATCGATAGTGAGATCGATAGTGAGATCGATATTGAGATCGATGTGGTGCCCCTTGGTGTCCCGAGGTGTCCCGTGGTGTCCCAAACAGTGAGATCGATAGTCAGATCGATAGTGAGATCGACAGTTGTCCCGTGGTGTCCCGTGGTGTCCCAAAAAGTGAGATCGATAGTGAGATCGATAGTGAGATCGATATTGTGGCCCGAGGTGTCCCGAGGTGTCCCGTGGTGTCCGACGGTGTCCCGTTGAGTGAGATCGATAGTGAGATCGATAGTGAGACCGATAGTGAGATCGAGAGGTGTCCCGCGGTGTCCCGTGGTGTCCCGTGGTGGCCCGTGGTGTCCCGAGGTGTCCCGTTGAGTGAGATCGATAACGAGATCGATAGTGTGATCGACAAGTGTCCCGTGGTGTCCCGTGGTGTCCCGTGGAGTGAGATCCATAGTGAGATCGATTGAGTCAGATGTTGGTGGCCCCCCTCTCCCCCCCCCCACAACCTCCTTCTCACTCGAAGGGCGGTCGTACAGGTATCGCCGATCTTACAGCTGATCTCACGAGCTACCATCGAGACATCACGGCGGGACACCCGGAGACACCGTCGGGACACCCCGCGCCAGCGACGGGGCACCCGGCGCCACCGACGGGGACTTTCCCCCGTTCCACCGACGGCATCCCAGGCACCGGCGCGCTCGGCGGACGGGGGGGGCTTGGTCAAACGGCTCCACGGCCCTCAGCCGCGGCGGCATCAGTCCTCTCGCGCGCCCGCGCAGCTTCGCCACGCCCACACGCACGACACGAGCACGGGACCGAGGCCGACTTCTCAGGGGGGGCTGCCCGTTCCACTTGCGATCTCAGCCCCCAGGCTCTCAGGAGCCTTTCAGCAGTCTCCCAGACGCCTCTCAGGAGTCTTCCAGAAGCCTCCAAGGAGTCTCCAAGCTGCGCCTCCTATTGCCCTCCAGGAAGATTCTCATGAACATTGAGGAGCCTCCGAGGAGCCTCTACGGAGTGCCTCTCAAAGCCTCCAAGAAGCCTCCAAGGAGCTTCCGTGGCCACTTGGCAGACATTTGTTTCTCGAGCAAGGTCTGGCTCGTCTAGACCCGCTCGCTTGCTCGACCGACCGTTCGCCCGCAGGCCGCACGCAGGTTTGCTCACTTGAGAGCATGTCTCAAGCCGCAGCGAACACAAGCAAGGCGGCGAGGGTGACTGTCTTGACTTGCTTCCCGATATCTCTCGCGTGGCGCTCCGCCGGCTTCCGCTGGGCGCAAGACGACATGCAGGCCGAGTTCTCTCGCATCGCGCCGCTGCTGCTCGGCTCGCTGCTGCTCTGCGTCGTGCTTCTTATCCTTCTCCTTGTGGTGCACGGTCGCGCAGAGGTCCACGAGCTGTGCAACAAGAAGTACGCCAGCGCCGCCCTCCCAGGCATCTTTTCCGCGCTGACCTTCATCCTTGAAAACTTTGCGCTTGCGAACGGCCTCAGCGCGACCTCGGTAGTCCTGCTCAACAAGTGTGCGATTCTGCCTGGTGTCCTCGGGGAGATCTGGCTGACGCGGACTACGCCGTACCGCACGCAGCTCCTCACCATGGCTGCTTTGCCCTTGTGCATCACCGTCTACTCTCTTGGCGACGAGGGCGAAATCAACATGTCGCTCGTCGGATTGCTCTTGGGCCTCGGCGCAGCCCTCTCGGACGGATTCGGCGACATCGCCTTCGAGGCCACGGCCTTGGACGACTTGGAGGAGAATTCGGGCGCCGAGACGCTCAGGTGCATGCTCGTGAACGAGCTGTACAAGTCCGTGCTCAATATTATCTTGATGTTCGTGTTCGAGCACAAACACTTCTCTCAAGGCCTCTTCCACGGCTGGGGCGTCCGCATGCTCGTCGGCGGTGTCCTGCCGCTCCCTATGATGGTCGCGCTTCACAGCACGGCCATCTTGACGACCAGCAACTTGGAGTCCAAGATCGCTGCGTCCGCCGACATCGGCATCGCTTACCTGATGGAGGCTCTCATCTTCGGGGACGCGGTCAGTATCTCCCAGTGCTTGTTGAGCCTTGCAATCTTTGCCCTGATCGGCGTCTACACCAAGTTCGCCATCTACGTTCGGAAGGCCGCCGCAGACGCCCTCATCAGGTCGTGGACGCTAGATGTAGAGGTTATCTGTCGGGTTTGAGAAGTTTCGGTTGTCTCTCGGGTGTGAGAAGTTTCCCGCGGCGCCTCGTCCGGGGAGGTCTGCGTCTTTTTCAATTCCAATTTTTGAATGAGATACCATGCTATTTTTGTTATGTCGTTCGGGGAAGTCGGCGTTTTCGCTCGCCTGCGCTGTCTGGGCTCCAGGGAGCTGCGCCCAACCTTCCCTGTTGACTCTTTGGCTTACGCCACGCCGTCGACCCCTTGGAAGGCAGGCGGCTGTTGCGTGCTGCTCCTGAGGCCCTCTTTGGAGCCTTTGGGGGGCTTCTTGGAACCCTTTGGGGGCTACCGGGGGGCCTCGTGGGGGCCCCTCGGAGCTGCCTGGAGGCTTCTAAGGGGCCTTGGGGGGCCAAGGGCTTGAACTGTGGGCTCGGGTTCCCCTTCGGGGGCCTTCTTGGGGCGGTCTCGGGGCTTGTCTGGGTCATGTTGGAGGCCTCTCAGGCCGTCTTTCGGGCCGTGTGGGGGCTTTGTTGGGCCTTTTATGGATCTTCTTGGAGGTCTCTGGAGCTGTCTCGGATTATCTTGATAGCTTCTTGTCAGCGTCACCCTACCATACTCATACTATGTGTGCGTAGCTCCCCCAGGGGCGAAGCCCGCACCCAGAAATCTTGTAGTACATGCGTCGTGGCGGGCTCTTGCTGGCTGTACCGCTGAGGAAACGATATATTATAATACGTAGCACCCCGCAGTTGCGGATAAGAGTGAGGGGGCGGCGGGGACGTCTGCAGTCTGCGAGGCTCTGAAGAGGCCCGCCGGCGTAAACTTTTCAAGCTACACAACGAGCCCGCCGCAGGCGCCGACTTTTTTCCTAAAACAATATAGGTGGGTCGCGGGTTGGGGCGCAGGTGGGTCGCGGGTGGGCCGACGGTGGGTCGCAGGTGGGTCGCGGGCCAGGTCGCGGCCCAGGTCGCGGGATGGGTCGTGGGGTGGGTCGCGGGCCGGGTCGCGGGGGGGGGGGGCGACGACAACAAACAACAGCACCAACAGCACCAGCAACAACAGCAACAACAACACACCAACAACAACACCAGCAGCAATATCAACAACAACAGCAGCAGCAACAACAGCACCAGCACCAGCACCAACAACAGCAACAGCGGCACCACCAACACCAACAACAATAGCAGCAGCAGCACCAGCAGCATTAACACCAATAACAGCAGCACCAGCCACGGCGCAACACGCAGAATCCTCACCACAGATCCGCACTTACGTCACGCACCCAGGGACAACGAGTGACCGTTCGGCCCCCTCGCTCGGACTTGTGCACTATATGTGTTCGGGTCGGGCGCACGCCTCCGAGGAGGACACACAGTATTGGTATGTCTTTGTGCGTCTCATCTGGGGCCGTCGTGGGGCGTCTGGAAACTGAAGAGGCGAGAACGCTGAATCTTTCAAACACCATTTGAAGATCGCTGAATGTTGCCTCTTGGGGCCCTTCTGGGAGGCCTATTGGAGGCCTCTTGGGGCGTCTTGGGGGCATCTTGGGCCACCTGAAGGCTGTTTTGGCCGTCCTGGAGGATCTTTCGGGGACTCGGGGCCCTCTTGGACCGTCTTCGGGGCCTCTTGGGGCTCTCTGAGCTCGTTTTTGGGCCCTCTATTCTATCCTCCATGATGCGGTCGGGCCGGGCATAGGGGGGTTTGGGCGGACCCCCCGCTCTCCAAATCGACCGGGCTGGACTCCGCGGGGAGGTGATTGGGGATGGGGGAAGCATCTCACAGGCTGATGTCACCCCAAGAAGCTGGAGGATTTTGCCGCCACGTGTACAGTTTCATGGTTTTTTGAGAGGGATGGTGGGCCTGCACACAAGGGGCAATATGAAGCCCCTCGCCGTCTTGTAAAAGAGCAAAGCACAGTGATCGTTGGACGCCCGCAGATGATCCAGATTTTGTCGCAAAGTGCACGTCCCATTGCATAGAGACAGGGATGGTGGGGGGGGGGATCGTCTTTGCTTCGGATCGGCCGCTGGTCGAGTAGGGGTGTGTGTGTGTGTGTCAATTTATACGGAGCCAAAGTAAATCATTTTCCGAAGGGGAAACAGAAGTTTGGAGGAGAGGACTCCCTGACCTACCGACGTCCAGAGGGCTGGTGGGATTTTGTTAGTAGGCTTAGTCGTTGGATTCGTATAGGCCGCGAGAAGGCCTTCGTCGTAGGAACTAATCTCGTCTCGAAAGCTTGTTCGGGATGATGGGCAGGACAAGCTTGGATGGGAGGTGATTGAAGGGGACACGAGGGGGCAAGGATAAGATGGGCTGGTAGTGGAGTGCCCGTCGACTAGTCTTGAGGCGATTTCGATTTCAGGGTAGGAGCAACACCTCTTTTTAAGTGCGCGCAGGAACGCAAGAAATCATAACTCTGACGCATCACTGGTTGACTCTCGGTCCGTCTTGGGCGTGTCGTGGACCGCCTCGATGCCATCTTGGATCGTCGTGGGGCTACCTTGGGCCAGCTCCACGCACTCTTGGACTCTCTTGGTGCTCTGTTTGGGCCGTCTTTGACCTCCGGGGAGGCTCTGGAGGCCCTGGGGATGCGGTTCGGGGTTTCGGCCTCCACGGGTCCTCCCCGCCCCCCCTCGTCAAACGGCATCTTGGACCCCATGGGGGGGGGGCAAAGGGAGAGGGGACAGCCAAATAGCCCTTACGCCTTTTCGCCCTCGGCGAGCGGGGATCGGGGGATTTCCTTCTCCTTCACGGTCGACTGCATGCCAGGCTCCGAACGGATCACGGCCACATTCAACGGTGCTCTCCCCGCAATTCTCACCGAGCGCCCGCCACAGTGCCGGCTCAGAAAAGTGCTCTCGTTGTGCGCGCATGCGCGCTTGGATACTCGCGATGTTGCAGGACCCCCAACCTATGACCCCCTGGAACTGTCCAGAGGCTCTTCTACTTCCGACTTCAGCGGCGGCGACGGCGTCGGCGGCGGTGGCGGTGACGACGACGACGACGACGACGACGACGACGACGACGACGACGACGACGACGACGACGACGACGATGGGTCTATGGGGCTGGGTGCGCCGCCTGCGTCGTGGGGGCCAGGGGGCAACCGCGGGGCGTCTTGTGGTCGAAGGCTGAAAATGTCAATTCGGGGTCCCCCTGTCGGCCCCCTCTCGGAGCTGTCTTGGGGCCCTCCTGGGCCGTCTTGGGGGGCTTCTTGAGCCATCTTGGGACCCTCTCGGGTCGTCTTGGAGCCCTCCTTCCTGGTGGCCTCTTCGCCCGTTTGGGGACGATCGTGAAGGCCTTGGCCGTCTAGGACGTTGTGAACGCCCAAGAGACGAATGTGCTAAAAATGTCGTGTTCCGTCGGGAGTTGGACGATTTTTGCTTCTGGCGGCCCTCCTGGGACGCCTCTGGGTGGCTTCTGGGGGCGTCGTGGGGGCCTCTTGGGCCGTCGGGAGGCCAGCGTGGGCGTTTCGGATGGATCTTTCGGCGAGTCTTGACTCTCTTGTACCGTCCAGGGGATCTCTTGGTGCTTTTTGAACGTTTTGGAACCCTCTGCCCTCCCATGATATGATGAACGGGGCCCCAGTGACTCCCCCCCTAAAATCGACTGGATTGGGCTTCTGGGGGACGGGTTTGGGGAGGGGAACGCATTTCAGACGCCGATGAACCTCAAGTGGTCGGCGGATTTTGCTTTTACCTCCTAGAGAATGCTTATTGAGCTGGCTTGAGCTGGCCTGCGTTGTCTGGGATCTGGTGATATTGGTTCCTGCTCCAGAGAGCGCCTGTCCTGCTGGCTTGAGCTTGCCTGCGCTGTCTTGGTGTCGTGTTTCTGATTCATCGAATTTGGCCTCTTCAGGTCGGCAGTGCGACCTGGAGGCTGTTTTTTCCCCACATCCTGAGTGGGGTTCTTGTTTTCCCAGAACATCCTCTCTTTCTCCCTCCCGCCTCCCGCCTCCCATATCAATACCATGCCTACCATTCCAGCCTCCCATATCATACCATGCCTACCATTCCATACCATACCATACCTACCATACAATATCATACCATACCATACCATGCCATGCCATACCATACCATGCCATACCATACCATGTCATACCATACCATACCATACCATACTATACCATACCATACATACCACACACTACCAAACAATACTATACCACACCATACCATACCATACATACCACACACTACCGAACACCACCAAACAATACCAACCATACTATATAGCATACGTACCATACCATACCATACCACACCATACCATACCATACCATACCTACCATACAATACCATACCATACCTACCACACAATAGCATACCTACCGTCCGATACATTACCACACCACACATACCATACAATACCATACCACACTACCCATACAATACCATACCCATACATATCTTACCACACACCCGCAAGAGCGAGCAGGATATCGGAGTACTATACCATTTACTAGGTTTCGTGCCCCTCCCGCCCCTCCAGGGAGGCCCCGCCTGAGCGAGGAGGGTATTGGAAACCCATACTATTTACATGGTTTCGTGCCCCTCCCTCCCCTCCAGGGATGCCAAGTCTGAGCGAGGAGGGCATCGGAAACCAATACTATTTACATGGTTTCGTGCCCCTTTCCACCCCTCCAGGGAGGCCCCGCCTGAGCGAGGAGGGTATCGGAAACCAATACTATTTACATGGTTTCGTGCTGCTCCCCCCCCCCCCAGGGAGGCCCCGCCTGAGCGAGGAGGGTATCAAGAAACCGTACTATTTACAAGGCTTCGTTTCCTGAGCACCTGTCCTCCCTCCTCCTTTCTTTCGTCTGCCCTTTCGTGCGTATTTACTCGTTCGATGAGCTTCTCCTTCGTGTTGATGTTGGCGTACCCCCTGGGTCCCACGAAACCGTTAATATCTTTATGTGGGAAACTCCGTTAGCATAATAATTTGTTTGGTTTGCGACGGCGACCGTCATCGACGTGGGGCCGGACCGCTGGGATCCACATGCCGCCTGCCCAGCGGAAGAACATGATACACGCCAGTCGTTGAAAGCAGGTATTTCTGGATTCCCAGATCCCACTCTACTTCAAGCGCCTTCCTAGCTCAAGAATCCACAAGCTTTTGCTGTGCTTTGTTGCTGAGGAGGCGGAGGCGGAGGCGGAGGCGGAGGAGGAGGAGGAGGAGGAGGAGGAGGAGGAGGAGGAGGAGGAGTCCGCCTTCCTACTTCATGTCTTCACCTGCTTCTGCCGACCAGCGTGCACACACAGGACGGAGGGCCAGAGCCCCAGGGCCCCGGAGCCAGAGCCCCGACCTCAAGTGTGCGTGCCAGGGGCCGGGCCCACAGCTTTGGGGGGGCGACAGTCGCCTCCCCAAAACTGTGTGTTTAGGGTTTAGGGTTTAGGGCTTCTCGGGCGCGCAGCGGCCGACAATCCAGGCAAGGCTGCCCCCCCTTCGGCAAGCTTGATTGGGGCGGCGTTTAGCCGACCCGATCAAGCTTGGCGAAGGGGGCAGGAGGTGCAACATCTTCCCACCCCCGGCCGCATGGCCGGCAACCTCCCGAACTACAGCCTTTTAGGGTTTAGGGCCGTTGGCCCCAGGCGCTCCCAGGCGCTCCCGGCGCGTTCCCCAGCGCTCCCAGGCGTTCCCAAGCGCTTCCAAACGCTCCCAGGCGCTCCCAAGCGCTCCCAGGCGCCCCCGGCACGCTCCCAAGCGCTCCCAGGCGCTCCCAGGCGCTCCCAGGCGCTCCCAGACGCTCCCAGGCGCTCCCGGGCGCTCCCAGGCGCTCCCAGGCGCTCCCAGGCGCTCCCAGGCGCTCCCAGGCGCTCCCAGGCGTCAGTCACAAGAAAAGGTCTTTGGGTTTAGGGTGTTGCATTCTTCGAAGACCAGGGGGAGGTTTATCGTTGAAGCGCGAGTCCCCAAAAGAGGGGGAGGGCAGCAGCAAAAGCTGCCCAGGCGACCCACTCGGGCAACATGCTCAAGCATCTCAGAGATGCCCTGTCTCTCGCAGACGGCGACGGTGATGCGCGGTGGGGTGGGCAGAAGCACGACGAGGTGCTTGGGAATTTAGGTTTTAGGGTTTAGGGTTTAGGGTTTAGGGTTTAGGGTCCACTAGCCCAAACTTGCAGCCCACTTGACCGTGTCCCACCCACCCATGACCCAAAACATATTGATCTCGATGCGGTATCAACACGCGACTCGCAAAACGACGACGAGGACGACACCGATGACGACGACGTTGATATTGTTTTCAAAACGACGACGACGCGGCCGCGCAAAGACACCTGGGACGCGGCTGCAACGGCGATGCGGCCCGCGCGCGCGACGACGCGATTTGAAGAACCACGTTTTTTGACGCGAGTCCCTGTGCGATGCAGGGACGCCGCCCAGCGGCGGAGAGGTTGCACGCAAGATCCACGTTTATTGACGCGAGTCCCTGTGCGACGCAGGGCCTCCCGCGGTCGCCGTGGGCGCACCGCACCGCCCAGCTGGCCCGCGGCCGCCTGCGCCGCCGAAGGGTCGGCGCGCCACCCCGCGTCCGCCGGGCCGCCTTCCCGCGAGCTCGCAGAGGGGGGGCCGCAGCGCCCGCGGCCGCCTCGCCCGCCGCGGGGGCGCCCGGCGCCATTCCTGGCGCTCCGAGGCCAAGGATCTGCGTGAGGGGCGCACCCTGGGATTTGCAGATCCTCCCAAAACGCCATTCCTGGCGCTCCGAGGGCAAGGATCTGCGTGAGGGGTGCGCCAAAATGGGGGGGGCGGCCGAAGGAGGGACTTTAGGGCGGCGGAAGGGCTTTTAGGTTTTAAATCTTTATAGGTTCTTAATTTTTAGGGTTTAGGGTTTAGGGTTCAGGGTTTAGGGTCCAGGGGCCTCCGACGGCGCACGATGCATGTTCGGCGGCCGGTGAGGTGCCCACGACGCTTCCAAGCCGCTCCAGGAGGATCCTCCAGAGGGCCCCGAGAAGCAAGCGTCGTCCCACACCCCTTGGGGGGGATCTCTTGAGAAGCAACTCTCCGAGAAGCAAGCATCCTCCCGAGGGGGGGCGAAGGATCTCACACGCCTAGAGATCCGCAAGGCGTCGGTGGATTCTGCCCCATCGTGCGATCTTTCTAAATCTGAACTCGTACCATCCCAGCCAGGCCGGTATCGCCCCCGCCCTCCTCATCTTTGTCAAGTAAAGGTGTGCGCGCGTACTCGATGAATGAATTTGTGAGAATTTCTTGCAACAGATGGAACGAAGTGCGCACGCTCAAGTCGTCGCGCGCGCATGCCGGAATCCTTCAAACACCTTAGGGTTTCGGAAGGACTTTCAAATCGAGTATCCCGAAAGTGTATGAAGCAATCCATGTCTTTGCAAACTGTTTGTTTACAAACATGTCTGCACGCGCGCGCTTTTGCCAATTCTTAAGACAACCATGCTTTCTTCAGCATGTTCATCAAGTGCGACCAGAGCCACTTCAGAGGCCCCCCAAAAGCTCATCCAACATAGCCTAAGAAACCTCTGAAATGTCTCTCGCCAAAAGCTGTATTCCCAGAAGGCTCACCCGCACCCTGACACCATCTTCGGTGTGGACTGGAATCTAAGCGCGCGCGCTCGACGCGCGCGCTTGGTTCTAGTGTTTAGGTATATGTACACACGTACATACATATCTTCATGCATGCATACATACATACATACATACATACATGCATGCATGCATGCATGCATACATGCATACATACATACATACATACGCACACATACGTACATATGTACATAAATACTTCCATGCGCATACATGCGCACACATGAATCAGCACATACACATTCATGCATGCACATACACACATACATACATGCATACATACATCCAGGCAAACAGACAAACATACAAGCACACACGCACACATATATACATACATGCATGCATGCATGCATACATACATACATTCA